GAAGCTTGACCTTGTGTCTTCCTCAATAAACTCATTTACACAAAAGTTTGTAGTACATGTACTTTGTTCTCAGAACTGACACTAGGACAAAACGCCCCTGGCCAGGGGAGGAACAGGGCATAGATAACCATGCTATTAGAACTTTTCTTTTGGCTGCCCTGGCCCTCCCAGGGATTTAGACAGATGAAATTAAAATCAGCATGAGAAAGAATCCCACACGTGTCTGAGGCCCCTGTTAACCAAGCCCCATACCACCACCAATCACTGCCGCTGCCGCCGCCACCACCGCCACCACCACCAGCAGGGAGCGCCCGGCTGCTTCTTCCCTGGCAGATGGTCCCACGGGCAGACAGCACAACAGATCTTATCAGTTCCCTGTTAACTCAGGACATTTCATGAATCGCTCAACTTATGAAAGACTTTCAGACCTGGACTCGGCCTGCATGTTCCTAAGTGAATAGAACTAATGCTGCTTCAAAACAAGCTTCCCAAGGAGTTCAAGTCATCACCTGCATTTGTGTCAAATGTGACCGAGGTCTTGTCAAGATAGAAGCCCCGCCCACAGGTTCTGATGAGCTGGAAGCTCTGAACTGAATGAAGTCTCCCACAGCCTGAAGTGGAGGAAAGAAGACTGAGGGATCCAACACGAAGATGCCCTTGGACGTCCCTGAACCTCTCCACCAATCGAGCAAGTATAGGTAAGCACAGTGCTCGGCACTGGAACTGCTTTTATTACTTGGATCCAAACACCATGAACAAACTACCTTTGGCAGCCAGGAGCTTTTGGATGTCTCCATATTGCTGGGCAGCAGTTAGACCCAGGTGTAACAGGAATACCACTTGGGGAAGAGTGGGGTCAAGGCGGTCTTTGTTGAGGTTCAGGGTCAACGATATGAAGAGGGATGGGCTTTACTGAGATCTAATCTGGTTTGCCAGTTAAGCATGTCTGTTTGGGCCAAGAGAATCTTTAGGGCAGAGGCTCTGGACCCTTGGATGTACATTAGTATATCACCTGAGAGCTTTCCTAAAAAGCTGATAATTCTGCTCAGCCAGACTGGGGTGGGACCTGGGGGAATCTGCATTTAAAAAAACGTATAGGTGTTTCTAATGTTCAGTAGGGGTTGAGAATCACTGCCAGAGAGAGACACACACCTGTTCACCTACTTCCTCTCCTACAGTGATGCTCATGTTCTTGTGGCAGTTGAAAAACGGTAAAGCACTTCTATGCCCATGATACCTACCTATCCTGTGGATTGAGCACTATCCCATTTTTCAGGAGAAATGTAGCAGAGCCACATCTTCTGACTCCCTGTGCCCTTAACCACTACACTACAGCTTACCGCTTCATTCCACTGAAGGTCGTCCCCCCGCAAAATTTGGCCATGAGGCCCATGGCCAACCTTGCTTAAGCCCCCAAGATAGCAGTACGTTCAGTCCCCAAAAGCAGGGCACACTGGCTTCAGACTCCCACCTGAGACTGCACGATCCTTCTCTGCCCCCCAAATGGCAAATAACGTATTTGCCGGCGTATAAGACGACCCCCTAACATTTCCACTCAAAATACAGAGTTTGTTATATACTCGCCGTATAAGACTACCCCCTCTTCCACACACCAAATAAAAGGTAAAACAATATCAGATTTGATTTCAACATTTATATTTATATTCAAATGCTTATGACATGCAGGAAAACTGTCACAAGGCTGTATGTAATCAAACATATACATAAATCGCAATTCGCGATTTTGCGCTATCATACTGGGTGTATGGTAGGCTGTGTGCGATTTTGCGAGTGTGGTAAAATCGCATAACAGCAAAATCGCATAACAGCCGAACATACACCCAGCAGTGCTGCTGATGCCTGAACGGTATGTGGAATGAAGTGGGCGGGCATCGGGAGGCCACTATGGCACGGGGCAAGCACTATGGGCAGTCTATCTGAAGTGTACCTGGCGTATAAGACGACCCCCCACTTGGAGGCATATTTTTCAGGGCCAAAAAATCGTCTTATACGCCGGCAAATACGGTAGGAAATACCGAGTTCTGGGGTATGCTGTTTCTGAGGTCAGAAAAATGCTGAGGACTCCCAGGTTTGAGCCTTCCTATTTCCACCTCATGAACTGATGCTTTTCCTGATTTTGATGAGACCCAGATTTCTTGTCCCTGCCACCCCCAGCTCCAGGCAGCAAAAAAGCCTGTTTATTTTAATACCTGGTGTGGCACTTGGGAAAGATCACACCTCCCCCGTTGTTACCCATTTCTATCTCCTGAACACTAATCCTAGAATCCCAACCAGCCCCCAGACATGTTATTGACAACACGGATGTTTCTTTAAAAATTTCCGAATTGGCTCCAAACTTGTCATCTCAGTTTCTCATTGAGCCTTTGCCCCACCATCCTTAATACTGCCAAACAGGGGAAGACTAATTTGGGGGCTGGTTAAACCCAGAAAGGACTTAATTTCCAGAAGTATCCTTTTGAGAGAGGATTGCCCCCCCAACACCCTGGGACTGAAGGAACTCCCTGTTCTCCCACTACATAGGAGATGATGTTCAAATCCAGCCTCTGGCTTTCCCTCCCTCGTTTCCTTCACTCTGCACTTACTGTCAGAGGCTCCAGGATCTGGGCTAACAACCCCTGGAAGCCAGTGTGGTCCTCAGCTAGGATGGAGCAGGGGCAGCAAGGTAGGCAGGTTCGGGTCTTTGTCCTTTCTGTCCCACTCCATGTCTGGGCCTCAGGCCCTGCAGATGGGCCCACACTTCTGCTCTCCTGGAGCCTGGGTTTGCGCCTCAGCTGTCCAGTGTCCTCCCCTGAACCAGAGCCACATGAGGGTCAAGGTCAGACAGACCCAAGGACAGGGCCTCTCAAACTTTCACCAAGGTAATCCTAATGATAGAGGAGAGTGAACAGGCTCCTGGGTGTACATTCTTAGCCCAAAGTAACTCTCAGCGAACCAAAATGACTTAACCAAATCTTAAATTCAGGCAACTGCATTTTATGGTAATACTATGGCTGTTTTTTAATATAAAAATAATGCTTTAAGAGTGTCCAGTTCGAGGCCCCATCATTAACCTGTGGCTTTGCATTCCCCTCGTATAGCTAAGTTGAGGAGTTTCTGGAAAGCCTGGATCCAAGTATGAGTGTGAGCTGCACGGTTTCTTATTTCTGCTCCACCTTGGGCGGGAAATAGAACCAGATGGAGGGACATGGCCTGGGGGAGTAGGTATAAAGCCTGGGGTCCTCAAAGTAAGGATTAAAGATTTTCAGATACTGTTGGGGGACAGATAGTGCCCTGGACAATTTGATCAAGTTAGGAAGCGCTCGGTGACCCGTAATGATTCCACAGGGTCAGTAAATCTGCTTTTTCTCCCCCGCAAAGTGTCACTCTAGGAGGAAGCCGTATCCTTCCCAGCCCTGGATTTCCTCGTCATACTCCCACCCTAACCTAACCCCCTGGGAGCCCACCCAGAATAAACAGAAACTTTCCCAAGGTGGTGGTCAAGCTCCTCTAGGAATGGCTGTGTGGCTCTGAAAAAGAAAGAGTAAAGGCCACATGTCAAAACTTACTACCTGCCAGGCACTGCGTTAAGGACTTGACACATGCTGTGGGGATCCTAGCTCCATTTTACAAATAAGGCAATAGAGTTCCGAGAGTTCAAGTTACTTGCCTTTAGTTCCACAGTACGTAGTAGGGCCAGGATTTAAACCCAGATGTGTCTGATTCTGAGCCCTGGCTCATAACCACTGTCTATACTTTCTGTCTGGACAGGAGAGGCAGAGGGAGCAGTTGAGAAGGTGCCCAAAATGCAGAGCCCAAAGGGAGGAGGAATGCTGGGTTCTGTGAGGAGACAGGAGCCCACAAGTAATAGAAAGTCATAGTGGGGGATGCTGGGTCCCAGGGGTAAAAACAGGACATCTTTCAGAGCTTCCCCTCCTCTTCCCTGCCCTCCAAGCACCGAAAATGTAACTCTGACCGGGCTGCTGCCCTACTTCAAAACCCTTTCATGCCTTCCCATCCTGCACAGAGCTCACCCAATCTCTTTACCCAGCAAGCAAGACCTTTTGTGACCTCACCCCAACCAACGTCTTGGTCTCCTATCACCATGCTTCCCGCCCCCTGGGCACCTGTCTGGTTCCTGGACTCACTTTCAAGACTCTCTAATTGCTCCCAACTTCTCACATCTACAAGCCCTCCTCTTCCATGACACCCCCCACCTTGTCACCCCAAGTCCACTGCTTTCAAGACTCCTTCCTTGAAAGGTGCCTCCACAGACTCATCTAACTGGTTGGCCCACTCCCTCTGCCTTCCCTCAGAACCCTGACTGGGCACACAGCGGGTATCACCGCTGCATGTCTGCTTCTGATCTTTCCTTTGGACTGTGAGCACCATGCCAAGCTGGTTAGCAGCTGCCCAGCTAGGGACTCCCAGTCTTCCTATTCCATGCCTTACCCTTCAGTAAGACAAGTTACTCTCAGCCTCTCTCAGCCTCAGCTATCTTATCTGTAAAAGGGGAGGAACAGACTCTACATGATAGAATTGTGAGGGTGCAACGCTCAAAGCATGTTGTCTGGCACGTAGTACATGATCAATAAATGTTAGCTATTGATGAATGACACTGATAATGATTGTTTTAGGATAAATACATGGGTAATTCTGACCTCAAACCCTGGTATCTCCCAGTCTGGAGAGAGAGGAGCAGTCGTTTTAGGGGTGTGGAGGTCATTCATTGGCCAGAGATCAGCTTTGTTCTGAGCTCGCTGGGTCCGGAAGTGAAGAAAAAGGCATTAGGGCCTCTCTGGTCTCTGTCTCCGACCCCTCCAGTCTAGAGCTAAAAGTATCGCAGGGCGAGTCTGGAGGCAGGTGATGATCGCCGCTAAGGATTAAGGAACTCCTCAAGGGCCGCCCAAGTGAATGTGTCAGGCTCAGGGACCCAGCGGAATGCCAGCCGGGCACACACACCCCTCGCTCCGCCCCGCCCCGTCCCGCCCTCCCGCCTCCCCCCTCCTTCCAGCGCCGGCGGGCGGCGCGCTCCGGAGGGAGAGCTGGGGCTGGAAGTGCCTACCCCCTCGGCGCCGGTCCCTGTCACCCGCGCCCGCCTCTGAGCCCGCCCCCACTGGGCAGCCGGGGGTGTCCCCGCCTCTCTCCCCCCGGGCCGGGGAGCCGGGGGGCAGCGCCGGAGCCCGGGGGGAGCGCGGCCCCGCCGACCGGTCGGCCAGGGCTGGGGACAGCTTGGAAGACCCAGGGTAAGCGGTGGGATGAGGGGACGCGGGCGGGGCAGGGGCGAGGCCGGGTCGGCCGGGGGCTGCGCGGAGCCCGGGGAGGTGAGGGGGGAACGGCCGGGGCGACAGGCCACAGGGAGGGGGAGGAGGGGGCCGGCGGGCTGGTGGGGGAAGCGGCTCGGGGGCGGCCACGTGAGAGCTGGAGCTGGGCTGGAGTGGGGGTTGCCTGCAAGGTGCTGGAGGCGGAGAGCAGGCTGAGCGCCGGCATCCCACCCCCCCAAACTCCTACCAATCAGGTCATGGGGAGCTCAGCATCTTTCGACGCCCCCACCCACCCACTGCCACATGAACGTGGTGGGGACAAACAGCGGGCAGACGTGTATTTCGGCTCACGGGACCGAAAAAGCAACAGCTCTTAGTCCGGGGCAGGGATTCGGGTGTGCAGGCCGAGGGGAGCGGACAAGAAGCAGGCTTTGGCCCCTGTGTGTGACCCCCAGTCTCTTGCTGGGCGCTGTCTGCAGACTCACTGCAGAGCGCAGGCCTCGGAGAGGGAGCGCTGGGGAGCTGGGCCCTGCTTCTCTCGGTAGCCCCCTTTCTCCCTCACCCAGCCTGGGACTTTGGATTAATAGACCCTTAGACCCAAGACCCCTGCCTGGGAAGAGGGAGGGGGCACCAGCCACCTCTGAGTCAAGGACCGCCACACTTGGGCCTGGTGAGTTCTGGGAGGCTGGCCCCAGCCTAGGGGCCTCTCTTGTGCCGCGCCCTGGCTTCAGCACTGTGCCCCGCTTTTATTTCCTTGTTATTCCCCAAAAAGGACTGGTTTCTGGGCAGGGAGTGCGGTGTCTAGGAGAATATTGGGGTAGCATACATCCTAGATTCCTCCAAGTTGCCACACCCAGAGAGAGTCAGGGGACTGTTCTTGCATTCCTTGCCCTCTCTTCCTCCCCTAGGATGCCCCCTCCCCACCTGCTTGTGCTGGTTATGTAATTAACCCAGCTGAGGCTCTCTGCCAAGCTGACAGTGTCCAGGGATACCTGAGGGGCTGAGGGCATGGAGGGGTTTATGTAGAGGAGGGAATGGTACTTCCTCCAATTTGGAGCCCATATAAGTAGATAAGAACCTGTTGATGAAAAGACACTGCATGGGGCAGGAAGGAGACCTGGGTCCTAGTCTCAGTTGACAGCTCAGCTGGCTATGTGGTCTTCATTAAGTCTCTGTTTTTTGGTTTTTGTTTTTACCGTCAATAAAATGGGAAGAAGACACACACACACACACACACACACACACACACACACACACACACACACACACACACACTCAACATGTATGCGAGTCACAGTGGATAGTGACCCACCCTGGGACTGCTTGGGGGTCCCACTGAGACTGTGAAAAACCTTAGATGAAGGAAGGACCCCTGCACATAAAGTGGCCACTCTATTGAACACCTACTTTGTGCCAGGCACTGGGCTTTACCTGCACACCTTACCACACCCTGTGAAGTTTCTTGCCTGAGGTCACATTTGTGGTGAGTGGCAGAGCTGGGAATCCAACCCTGGTGGGTCTCACTCCAAATCCTGCCCTTGATTTACTAGGCTGTCTGTACACATACCTAGTGGATTGGGTCCTCTGAACTAGGACAGACTGAGGGACATTCAGCTGTGAACTGTGCATATGTGGAAAGAACGTGCATTCACACAGAAAACACACAAGCTGAAAAGCACAGCCCATCAGAATCCGGCAAACCCACCTGCCCTGGACCCATTTAGTAGGCACTGGTGTCACCCTTCCTGGAAATAGTCCCCAGACGGGAGGTCTCAGGCATGTACCAGCCTCCCTGGTCACCATCCCCAACAGAAGGAGAAGGCATCTAGCTAAGAGATTTATGTAGATTATCTCAGAAGTAGAGGCTATTGACCCCACTTTAACAGATGTGGGGAGCACAGCTCAGATTGGACAGGTGACCCAACAGCTGGGAGTTTATACCCAAGCTCTAAAGTCTCTAATGCTGAACAAGGAAGGAGCTCATGAATCCATAGCAAGGTCCAAGCCTGTAGCAGCCCTTTCCTGCTGCTGGCACACCTGCTGTGTGCCTGGCTAACTGAACCCCTGGGGTTGCCAGAGAATCAGACACAGCTCTTGGCCTGTATGCATTCACCAGCTAGAATCACTAAACTTGGAAGTTGGCAGTACTGTGACATTGTAGAAAGGAGCAGCTGCCATTCCCAACTGTGTGACTTTGGGTCTACCTCTTACTCCCTCTGAACCTTCTCTCTGTATAGTGGGAATACCTGTCCTATCCCTTGAGGATACGTATTCCCTGAGGATAACCTTGTGGGCACACTAACAGAGCAAGTGGTCAACAAGTGTTGCCCTCCAGAGCCAGGTTCATCTAATCCAGGGATTCTCAATGGGGCATTTGGAAATG